CAAGGATCCCCGGGTGGTTTCTACCTTTGCATTAAACTGTTTGGGTAAAATGCATATATATATATATATATATATATATATATATATATATATATGCACTCAATCTTAGCACCACCTACAAAATCCATCATATTTGCAAGTCTTTAGCTGATCAGAAAAATCCTGTAGTCTTTGAACCCAGAACTGTCCTATTTCATGTGTGCTATCATCAAGAAAAATGAAAGCTACTTCTTGGATTTAAAAAACCTAGTCTTTTTAAAATCATTACTGTCTGTGAAAGTCATTTAGTGTAGCCTAGTATATCCATAGCTATGTGGAAAAGCACCTTACGCCAACTGTTGAGTAAAGTGAAGGATCTGTGATGTCACAATGCTGCATCCCTTATCAAGTCTAACCTTTTAAGGTTCAAGCTATTATAAGTTTAGAATCAGAAATGCTTTATTGTTAATTACAAGGACTTTGTGTTGATGAGGTGTGATGATGACAGTCAGCTGATAAAAATAAATACTTAAATTAGTGAAAAACAGTCAAATGGATTTAACTACAAAATTGAAAATGAATCATCAATAATGACTGTCTGGCCGAACCAAAAACGTAGTGGGTTACTAAAAAAAAGAAATGCTTCTACATTTTATTCAAGACAAAGAAATGCTAACAGTTTTTAGTGCTGAAATCATACAAATTTAATATATACCTGTACATTTCTTTGTACTTTCAGCAAAATACTGTAAAACTGTAACTAAATTTTAAACTTATTCTATTTATAATGCTAATTCTTAATTCTAAAATAGCCATAAAAGAAAGAAGTATTAAATACTTTCCCCTGAGGACATTAACCATCAATCTTCTTCAGGGTCACAGTAGGGCTGGTGATCTCCAGCAATCTATGGGCAAGAGGCGAGGTTGGCAGTCCGTCGCAGGGCAACAGAGACACACAAACTCATACCTCAGGACAATATAAGAGAGGCCAATTAATTTAACATCATGTTTTTGGACTATGGGAGGAAGCTGGAGTACCCAGAGAGAACGTGCAAACTCCATGCAGAAAGACCTGCAACTTTCTTCCTGTAAGGCAACAGTGTTACAGACTGCGCCACCATGCACACACTTTAGCTTGATATTTAAAAAAATAAAAAATAAATATAAATGGATGTTGATATTTACCATGCAGCACAACGCGATGACCAGAACTGTGATCGGAAGGCAAAGACGAATGTTAAGCCACACCACCAGATAAACAACATCAGAATGATCCATCCTCCCTGTAGGTTCCTGAGACCAGAAAATATGACTTTAAATAAATAAACAATACTGATCACAATGCAAGTCTTGGACATAAAACTAAGCTAAAAAACTATGTAAAGGAAGATATTAACAGATATTGTTTATAAGTTGATTTGAGATTAAAAAGTTGAATATTCGACCGTGGGCTCCCACGGAGAGGACCTGGCTGCCCTCATTACTTCACTTGGTTGCAAAACCTGGTTTCCCCAAATCAGACAGTCCTTTTCAAAACAACAAACAAGATCCGTAAAAAATTGGGACCCTAGAAGAAATTTCTAACTTGCTGGACAAGTTAAAAGTTTTGCTGATAATGATGGCACAGATATTGGTTTAGTTATACATAACTAATTGTTGATTAGCTTCACAGCAACTGCTAAAAAGTCCGGTTAACTTCCACAAAATTTAAAAACACAATTAGGGTTTTTATTTTTGTCACAAAGTATTGAAGCTGTCGAGAATATCTTGTAATGATTTACTTATTATCATGATCATTTGATTATTTCAGTGTTCATCAAAAAGTATAAAGAACAATGAAAAATAACATTTCAATGCCTAAAAATGCAAAATAAAGATGACAAATCCCCACAAAAAGAGTAAAGCAAAGAAAGTCCCATCATTTAAAGTCAAAGTCATTCACACATATGAGTTCAATGTGGCAATTTCCCTAATGCACTCTTAAGCATTTACTTGCCGTTTCTGCTGAGTTCACCAGTCTCTTGAGTCAGTTTTGCTGTTTTTAAACAAAAAGAGGATCAGATAATCAGCACCCCGAATCAATATCAGACATACAGCGTACAACCGCCATTTCAAAGCCAGTTTAACACAGTGTTCTGAAACACAAAGTTTTCCGACTGTAGCTTCAGAGTGGTAAAACCTGTGGCAGGAAGTTGATCAATATGCAAAAAAAACAAAAAAAAAACAAACATGCAGAAACAATCTTAAAAAATAAATTAACAATACTTAAAATCTTACGTGAAAATATTTTAGGCATCTACATACATTTATTTTGATGGTATCAGCATATGCAACACACCTGAGAAAAAACAGTAAGTAAACTCATAAGTAGACTGCAAAATCTTATTTCATGGTGTTACATGAAAAAATGGAAATTAGCATCTAATGTATATCTACTTCTAAGGTTTTTCTCATCAACGATTTTGCAACATTTCAGCTGCGTTTTTGCTTTCACAAGGGGCATGAGCATAATAGCTATACTTAATTGAAGCATGGACCTAAATTTTTGCTGAAATAGCTAAAAGTGCAATGAACCATTTAGAATTCAAATGGATAAAGTTAAAAACAATTTAAGGGCCCTTTAAAAAATTAAAAGGATGTTTATAATTTTTCCAATTCAGAACTGTCCACCTTTTGTTTCAAATAAAACAGAATAAAAATGTACAAGTGGTGTGAGCCCTGCACCTCTAAGGGTTTAAAACATTTCTCGAAACTCTTCAATTAGATTTAATGCTTTATAAACGTTCCACTTATTTAGACTTCATGAGCTCAAAAGAATAGAGAAAGAACAGATATGTAAGAACAGTGGGGAAACAGGAATTTGAAACGCTGCAGATTTTTACAGGTTTACTCCCCGTTACAAACCCTGTAAAGATCTTTAATTTTTTACAATGGACCTTTTCAGCTCTAATGGATGGGATCTAAAACATAAAATATATTGTTAGAGATAAGTTGATAATTTGCATTTTATTGCATGACAAGTATTTGTGATGAGTCATGAGAAAAGTGTCAGGGTTCTGAGCTCTGCTTGGGTCTATTTTTAGCTTTTTTGTGTTCTGTGTCTTTGTGGTTTATTTCCACAAGTGCTGAGTTCTTTATTTACCATCTGTTGCCCTCTTGTGCTTGTTTCCTCTCCCTTTGGCTTCCTCCTAGTTGTTCTTGCCCACACCTGCTCCCAATCTGCCGATTACCCTATCTTGGTTCAGTCTCCCAATATATACACCACTTCTGCAGTAACTCATAGACTGGTTTGTAGTTTTGTTGGTTCCCCGTCTCTGGCTTCCCACATGATTTTCCCCTGACGTAATCTTATTAGTGATTCTCAGTATTTTCTATTTTTTTGTATTTCTGCCTCAGTTGGCTATTAAATCTGCAAGACTCACCTCTGCCTCATGATCTCTGCATTTGGGTCCTCAAGAACCTCCACCCAACCGAGACAAAAAGTAGGAAGAAGTCAGCAGAGCACTAAATTGTTTTATTATAGCTCTATTTTATTATAGATATACTGCAAAATAAAAATATCTTGATGTTTCAAATAACTCTTTCAAAATGGTAAACTTTATTGTTGAATTTTCTCTGTTTTCAGTAGAAACCTCTTTGTTTGACCATATTATGTATCCATGTTATTTTGTGACTGCAGACTACTAGGGAGGATCTGTGACAAGATCTTCTTGAGTCACATCATATGATAGGTTGTATATATATATATATAGGTTGTTTTTTGGATGGGGGTAAGTTCACTGGTAATTTAATATGCCCCCTTTCTTTGGGGGGATTCGAACGTTTACTAGGCACCCTCCAATAAATTGCACATCTCTGCTTTTTCTTGTCATAAGCCCCATTTACACTACCCTCTGAAACCGATCCGTGCTTGGATCAGTTAACCAGCTCAAGTGGTAAGTCACCCGTCCTGCAGACAGGAACCTGGGTTTGTTTGCTAACTGGGGGAAATGCCAGTATGGGTCCTTAGACAAGACCCTTCATGCTAATGCCTGCTTTGGTGAGAAATTCAAAAAAATTACTTTTTTATTGGTTGATATCACAGTTTGATGTGTTTTTTGTGAATATTATCTGTTTTTAAATTTTAAATAAAGTGCATTTGTGTGAACAAGTATTTGACTTGTTTATTTTATCTATTCAGGTATATTACCATCAGCTGTTTTCTAAACCCTCTCATTCCTGTTCAGTGTTATGAAGCAGGGAGGGGTTGGGTTGTGTACTGTATATAGATTGTAAAGGGTTTTCTATTGGCCACCTCTCGCTAGCTTTGTGCCCCATGTTGGCCATCCCAGTAAAATATTCTGGGCAAACCCCTGCACAAAATGCATGTTGGATAAAAAAGAAATTGAAAATATCAATGTATAATTTTAATATTTTATCAATGTCCAGTACAACACAGCTCATTCTACGTCACATTAAAGTCAGTCTTAAAATTAATATTAGATATTAGAAGTTAGGTTTAAGTTGATTATGCGAGTTCTGCAGAGTTAGCGATGAAAAAAATCCTAACTACATTGCAATGCTGGTATTGTCTGAGAGATATAAATGAATAAGGAAAAGATGCTTCATCTTTTTCAGTCCTATGCTTGAAATGGAGGCATAAGGTTTAAGAGCGAGCTCCTACACCTTATGGACAAAAGACATTCTTTTGAGGACCAGAATGTTTACATTTTGGACACAGAGGAGAGGTTTTTTGAGAGGGCCGTGAAGAAGGCGATCTATGTTAAGAAAGAAAAACCAACCTCAAATAGAGGGGGTGGACTCTGATTTTAGCTTTCAAAAACCTACAACGATAGAGTTGATTCCTTCGCTCCATGAGGTCTGTTGAGATAGGTATTAGAAAATGGATGAGACTAAGATGAAGAAAACAAGTAAGTAAGAAAGGTATTTATGGCCTCTACTAGGTTGCATTCCAGTTGGACTTTAACTTCATTGTCTGGTTTATTGAGTCCTATAAACTGTCATGTGACCTTATGTGGATTAAGTATCTGTCTGAACTGTGTCATCTTAAGTGTTCTGAACCAAAAATGTATTTAGATCTAATTGTCGCACCTGTTCTCTGTTCTGGTTCAGTTACATCTAGTGCTCAAAATTGTCAAGGTTATTTCCTTTGTTTAGGTTTAATTTTAGTTTCTCTGTAATTTTGTGTTTGTAGCTTTTTTCTCTCAGTTTTACATTTCTTGAGTTACTGATTCAATTGTGTTCAATTATGGATCACAGTTTCTAGGATCTCAGATATTCTAGTTTAGTTATCAGATATCTTTAAAGTTTGATTTATTGACTTAATATTCCACAATTTTTATGTCGGTCTAATATGAATCTGTTGTGAGGTTGTTGTTTTTATTTTAATGTGGCTAAAGCTACTCCTGAAAGCCAGGACATGTAACTGCTGTGTAGTGTGTGTTTTATTTTTTATTGTAATATCTTACTGATAGCTGTAAACAAGACTGCTCATTGAGGACAGTAAAGAAACTTTGAACTTTGAAGTTTCCAGGAACTCCAATGCTACTCATATTGCTGCCTCACCCACTTAACTATCCCGCCCCCATTATATGGAAGCTCTGTGTCCTTTGAAGAAGCAGCTCACCTGTGTCGCAGTCCGTTGTTCAAATATTCTTCTACACTTTGGACCATTTAAATAAACTGTAAGTGGGATTTTCCTTTCCTATGTTTTTTGTACTTTTGGCAAAAACATATCTCTAAATTTTGGATTGTCAATCATCTGGTTCCACTTTCTCTGGATCCATTCCAACTATTTTGATATTTGATCTTTTTTGATTCTGGTTTAGTTCCTTTACTTTTTCCGAACATAATTTCAATACTATGTATTTTTGCTGTTATAAACTGGCTCAGAAAACCCAATTTTCTCTGTCGGTCAACCTCTCTTGTTGCATCAGTATAATTAGAACCTGTTGGACGAACGAACTGGGCGCCCAAACCGGGACAGAACAGAACCGACCGAACCGGGACCAAAACCACGCCCATCTTCATTCCACTGAACCAACAATTTAATATCTTCTCATCTGTTGCTTAATAAATACTCTGCTTGGTCGACAGATATGTAGAATAGATATTTTATATGGGTCGTTTGTGTTTTATCTGAAAAAGACCTTCCTGATTCAACTGCTGATGGTTTTCAAGTAAGATTACTGAACTGAATGCTAGCGCCCACTGTGCGTGACTGAAAGATGCATTCATTGTGTTCAATGGTAACATTTAATGATAATATTATATATTAAAAGAATTAAGCAGCTGCCAAACCTAAAATCAGTGAGACATAATAAGAATTCCCATTTTATAAACGATCTGTGCCAGGTCACATTTTCAACAACATAGCAGACTAGAATTGAAACAAAAAACAAAGGATTTTATGGAAGTCAAACTGTTGCATGAGTAAAGTTGGAAAATAACATATTTTAGATGAAACATACTTTTTTAGACCTGAAACATTTAGACACAGAAGACAATTTTGATAAAATATTATTCAAAATAGTATGATGATTTGAGAAACCAGATATACGCCCAACCCTTGAACATGGGCCAGGGACACTTGGTTGAACTTGGCTGTCCAACAACAACCGATGCAAGATGACCACAGTTAATCTACAGATTAATTACTTGTGTTTCCTATGCAGATGAAGGTAGCAACTGTATATGAGCTGATGTGGGTGTGAATTCAACAGCATGGATCAATCGGAAGACAAAAAAGAGGGGGTCTCTGTCTCTAAAACCACTCTGTGTGAGAAAAATAAAGATCAGAGGTAAGATCCCCATCTTGAATCGTCCATAGCCTTTTTTATACAGTTTTAACAATATACAAAAGGAAATGATCAGTTCAAGGATGTCGGTTACTCATCATATTTGATCAGACATTATTAAGCCCAATTTGGCTTTAGCTTTTAGTTAATGAAGAAGTGTAAACTTGGATTTATAGAGTTTAATCTAATAAAACTAATTACAGATAAAAATCTTTCAACCATCCTGGTAAAAACGAAAAAAAAAAAATTGACAATTGGCCTACAGCCACTTTACTCGAATTATTAACCTTACGATATTAACCAAAGTGCTAGGTTAGAATCTATCTCAGTAAACCAGAAACAAAACATTAACTCTTAATATGTCCTTATTAGAAATTGGGAAGGAAATGTTTTGTGCATTTTCTCAATCACATAACCCAGCATTAATATCAACCAATCATTTTCATTGACAATTATGAACCTAAAACTGGACATAAATCAGTTCCTTGCTGCATTCCTATGGAAATATACCAGTTATAGGAAGGTTTAAATGGTATTCAAGTAAGGTGTTGAGTAGACAAGTATATTTCAAAAACAGTCCATAATGAGCTATGAGAATATTTGTTCACAGTAAGACTATTTAAAAAATTTATTTGAGAGACAAATACATATCAGCATTCTATGTACTTGTTTGTTTTTCAGTTTATTTATTTTTATTAATTTATTATAATTTTTTTACCTGCACTGACTGAAATGTTAAGTTCTTAAGGGAACTTTCATTAAAACAATTTACATTTTTCAAGCTTTTCTTTTAGGATGTACCAAGAATTCAACCCAAAATGTGAACGAAGCTGTGTTTCCTTTAAGAGTGACTGGTCCAAGGATCTTCCCCTTAAATTTAATCCAACCAGAACATCAACAACAGAGAGGTGATTTCTATCTAAACAAATATATGCAATCCATATCTGGTTCTATTTTAGAACTGTATAGTTTCTTTTTACTGGTATATTTCACAGAGCTGTACAATATCAGTTTTATTGTATTGTTATTCTTATTATATTATTTTCTTTGTATCTGTGTCCTTTCCTAATTGACTGTCACTTTGTCACAGCCTGATCAAAAATAAATTACTTGTCATTTCTTTCCATTGGACCTTCTGCCAGTGGGACTTGCCTTAACACTTCCCAATAGAGCCCTCCAGGGGGCATCCTGATTAGGTGGCTGAACCACCCAAGCTGACTCCCCATGATGTGGCTCTATTCCAAATTCTCTCCAGGATTGCCCAAGCTTCTGATCCTACAGTAGCAGCCATTCAAAATGGCCCTACGCCAGCAGAATGGCAGCCCAATTCCCTCCAATTCCCAGTGAAATCCCCTCCAACTTCCAGCCACTGGAGTGACCACCTCTCCCATATTTTTTTACTCTGACTCCAGCCTTTCACTGCATTACATGGTCTGACCAGGAGATGACGCTTCTCTTTAGATCTTAATGTTGACAAAATCATGACAGGAAGAATAGTTTTGTATAGAGATTGATGTTTTAAAAGGAATTGAAGGGGTTCCAGCCAAGGGCCCATCAAGGAAAGTGGGGAAATTTTAAATGGCTACTACTGTATCTCAATGGAAGTGCCTGGCTACCCTTTCAGATTTTATGACCATAGGTGAGGGTAGGAATATAGACCAACTGGTAAATTTGGAGGTTTGCATTCTAGCTCTATCCTCTCTTGCCCACAATGTAATGTTTAAGAGGCATGACAGCCATTAATACCTGACAACCTCCAGCGACTTCGGACACTTAGGGCAAATCTCATCCAGACCTAAAGTTTTTCCACCACACGCCCCATCTTTTCTTACACCACAGAAGGCCTGTTTGAGGAGATCCTCAAGGTATTCATTCTGGGTCAGCAGCTCTCCACTTGTAATAAAAACAGGGTTAGTAAAGCACTGGTTCCCACTCCAAAGTCACTGGATGGCTTGCCAGAATCAATTTGAGGCTGACTAATAATCTTTCTCCATGATCTCCAGCACACTTGGCCTCATGATAGTGTTTCCTGCCTGAGGATTCGGATATAGGACTCCTAATTCAGCTTTATAGCACCCCGTACAGCCAGGGTCCACCACCATGTTCGGGGGCTGCAGCCTTCACAGGCACTACAGACTTTACGACAAAAAGCTACGGGCTATTCAACATTAAAGGCAGAGATCATGGTCCTATCAGAGTCCATGTCCCCAGCCTCCCTGGTGTGTAGCAGAAGCACTCTCAGAGCTCAGGGTAAAAACATACTTGACAATGGGCTGAAACAATTCAATTTCAATTAAATTCAGTTTATTTATATAGCGCCAAATTCACAACACATGTCATCTCAAGGCACTTTACAGCTGAACCAGATCATACAGTCAAATTGATACAAAGTTTTCTATCTAAGGTAACCAGTTGATTGAATTGACTCATTGACTCAAATACAATCCCTCACACTAAGCATGCTTGTAGTGACAGTGGAGAGGAAAAACTCCCTTTTAACAAGAAGGAACCTCCAACAGAACCAGGCTCAGTGTGAGCGGCCATCTGCTGAGGCGGACTGGGGTTCAAGGAGACAGAAGCAGAGACACAAAAAAGCAGCTGTAAAAGGCGGCCCAGTCCAGGAAACACACAGCCAGGCAGACGAGCTCCGAGCCAGCTCCCATGCCAGAGGACGAAGAGAGCTAGGGTCCACTCCTCCCAATCACATTATCGCAGGTGTCACTGTCCATTCCCACAGAAGAAAGGACTTTTCCACATGGGAACTGAATTCCCCAAGCAGAATGATGAAGTCTTTAGGAGAGTCACTGCCGTTTGGCCAATAGGCCAAAACCTGAGTCAGAGGCTGAAATGTTCTCTTAAACTGCTTTATTCAGAACTTTAATTAATGAAATAGCCACAGATATGTCACATATCTGAGTGCAAGCCTAGCGACGATCTCTGCTATCTTAGAAGGGGGAAATTAGCTTAGAAGCTACATATGTAGACATTCAGACAGTACTCTCAGCGGATTATACACTTGGTTTGAGTCATTGTGATTTATGAATACTAAGATAACCTATTACAAAAACACAAATTAGCTCTAATAGAGGCTGATTGTGGAGGATCGAGGGAGGACAGAAGAAGATCTGATAAGTCTGCAGTGGAAACAGTGTCAGGGAGGGGAGAGGCTACACCTGACAGAGGCTCGCTATAAAGGCTTGTTGCCAAAGATTGTAGGCCCATGGAAGAACATCAGATAAGACCACCAGGAAAAAGGAGGCAGAAGGATGTCACCAATATAAGATCAGAAATATTAGAAGAGCTATTTTTAGCAAGTTTGCATCTGATATGTTGTTTTTGGTTGTTTTAGTGTTTATGTTACTTAAAATTTCTAAACAACAGCTTTTCTCTTCCAGGGTGCCTGAGAAACACAAAACTAAACCTGAACCCAGCAATGTGTCATTTAACAGTGACTGGTCCAAGGATCTTCCCCTTAAATTTAAAGCAGCCAAACCTTTAGCAGCAGAAAGGTGAGTTGTATCTAACTGTTGTAACTCTGAAAATCTTTTAAAAATGGCTTTCTTTTAAAATGGCTTTTATCCCAACAGTATTTAATAATGTGATCTCTCATTAATGTGTTCAAGTAATCTATGTTGATATGTAAGGCTATGAGTGATGGATATTTTTTATAACAATAGCGGTTGCATAGACTCGGATCCAAAGCACCTAAATTAAGTTTCTTAAAACTAAGTCTACGTTCACACTGCAGCCTGAAGTGACCCAAATGGCAGTCTGAACAACACCGATCAGATTTTTTTCCAATGCGATCCAGGCCACTTGGCTATGTGGTCCTAAATCTGATCTTTTTAAATGCAACCTGTGTCTGAACAGCCAGATCACATTCATCCGACCTATTAATGGACTGAACGCGATTACTACCCGACAAAGGTAACTTTTCTGGTTCTTGCTATGAAAAAGTGTCAAGAAAAACAACAACCATGGCAGAAGATGATGCGGAGAGCAGTATTTATCTTAAACCGTCTTGAAAAGATTGTGTTTTTATGATTACGAAAGATCGCTAGATGTGCTTCGGCGCTACCACCCATGTTTACTTTCGTAAACACAGAGCATGCTGGCCTGTGATGTCATTGCGTCCTCTACTGTGCATGCAGGACACTTGCGTTGAATGACTGCAGTTCTCACAGGAGATCATAAACAAGTCGCATATATTTGGAAATGTGAACGGCAACGCAAGAAAATCGGATTTCACAAAAAAATCGGAATTGAACATTAGGGCCTGCAGTGTAAACGTAGCCTAAGAGTATTTTGAAACTTGTCCCAGTGATGAAGAGCATTGAAAGAAATGATTTACCCGATTCTTTATTTGTTTTGGTAATAATTAAAAGTAATTTTTTGCCAGATCTAGAAGTAAATGACCCAAATGTTAACAAGTTGGTTGTAATCCAGCATTGTATGCTGTCTTTTAAGTAGAGAAGTAGAGGCATGTAAATAAATTATGTCACAATACTCCTCTAACAAGAGAAAAGTAAGAGTTTGTGCCCTTCAAAGAAACCTCCTGAGCCCTAAAATGTTCTATGCAAATTTGTTATGCAAAAACCTAAGTGTTTTTTTTTTTTTTTTTACCAGTAACTAATAATATATTTTATTAGGTACTTTAGGATACTTTGGTATCCAAGGAAAGCTATCACTTGGGAGATTCCACCAGAATACAAAAAAACGAATTAAATTCACCCTGAATTATATTCATCATGGCACAATTTTATTTATATAGCACCAGTTCACAACATATGTCATCTCAATACACATTAGAGAGACAACACAACCAGATCATACAGTATGGTTGGTTCAAAGTTTCTATCTAAAGAAAACCAGCTGATTGCATGAACTCATTGACTCAGCAGCAATCCCTCACACCAAGCATGCACGTAACGACAGTGACAGAAACCTGCAGCATCAAAAAACTTTCTTTTTGACATAAAGGGCGCATGCTGTGATGCTGGTGGGGATGAAAGGGAAGAGCTGACCCCAAACTGCAGCATCTCTTTAGCTAGCTCTGTCTGGAACATTTTATTTTCAGAAGACTAAGCTTGCCTCTTTTCAGCTCTTTATACAATATGAAACTATTTGGAATTGCTTGACAACAAATAAAATGATTAATCCTCACCTCTGTTTAAGCAGTGATATTTGCCATTCTTATTCCAACTAGTGTTTCAATTAAATTATGAATTGTCTTAAAATATCCAGTGAAAGTCATAAATTCTTTGAGATAAGAACTAGTTATAGCTTTGGCAATATCTTGCACTAGGACTGATTAGCACTTCAAGTACAGACGATTTCATCAAGAGAATGTTATCTAAGAACAAAGTTTAACACAAACGAGAGGAACAATCCGCTCTTTTCAAGCACAGCTAATGCAAAAAAATGCAAATCAAGAAGTTTAATGTAAGTTTTTTAAAAACTTCTGGGCTAGTTTGTTTAAATTAGAATATACATAGAAGAAATAAAGGAATAAAAGAAAAAAGTTGGAGGACATTAAGTCAACATCTAATATTTTCAGCTTCTTTTGTATTACTTATTTTGTAGTGGGTTACAGCAAGCAGGATTTTTATGTGACTGAAGGACAGATGGAAAGCATCTTAAATCATACTTTAGAACAAGATGGAGAACAGATATTGAAGTAATTTAAAAAATATCAGCTTGATATGGTGCAAGAGAAGCTCTAACAATGACCTTGTGTTGATCTCTGTGTAGAATGGATATAATTATCTGTGTTTGGACATGCATGTGTTTATCCTTAAGGAAGAGCCTGAGTACTTTTTATATGAATTCTGAACAGAAAGGACGAGCAGAGCTCACAGTTTCCCAAATTATCTGCCCTGCAGCATCAAACCCAGTTGGATTCCATATTTATGGTCAGTACATGTACAAAAACTACTTTTCTGTTCTTTTTAGTTGTCTCCATGCTGCACTTTGTAGACCAGTAGACCAGAACTCCATTCAACATTGTTCTGATGTTTGGCTTCATGATTTCACACTTATTTGTTCTTCATTTAATGTTCTGTTCCAGCTGCTGGAGGATAACATTGTTTCTTTTGTGAGGAACGAGCTCAAGAAGATGCAGAAGGTATTGCGTCCAGATGACCTACAATGCACAGAGAGTGGAACAGATGAGGGTGAGGTGTCAGAAGGTGAGGATGAAGAGCACATAATGAGTAGCAGAGAAGCATTGATCAAGATCACACTGACCTTTCTGAGGAGAATGAAACACCAGGAACTGGCTGACTATCTGCAAAGCAGTAAGTGAATTTAAAGAAAGATAAAACATGATTGGATGAATCACACTCTTAACCAATGTCTGGATAAATGAAATCACACTCAATCTCAAAAATCAGGTCTAGAAGATTATGTTCCCTTACTAATTTCATATTTCTATTTGTTTATTTAGAATATATTGCTGCAGTGTATCAACATAAACTTAAATCTGGTCTGAAGAAGAGGTTCCAGTGTGTCTTTGAGGGCATCACAAAAGCTGGAAGTCCAACTCTTCTGAACCAGATCTACACAGAACTCTACATAACAGAGGGAGGGTCTGGAGAGGTTAATAATGAACATGAGGTCAGACAAATTGAAACAGCATCCAGGAAATCACACAGACCAGAAACAACCATCAGACAAGAAGACATCTTTAAAGTCCCACCTGGAGGAGATGGGCCAATTAGGATATTGATGACTAAGGGAGTGGCTGGCATTGGGAAAACAGTCTTAACCCAGAAGTTCACTCTGGACTGGGCTGAAGGCAAAGCCCACCAGAACATCCAGTTCATATTTCCATTCACCTTCAGAGAGCTGAATGTGCTGAGAGAGAAAAAGTTCAGCTTGGTGGAACTTGTTCATCACTTCTTTACTGAAACCAAAGGAATCAGCAGCTTTGAAGACTTCCAGGTTCTCTTCATTCTTGATGGTCTGGATGAGAGTCGACTTCCTCTGGACTTCCACAACAACAAGGTCCTAAATGATGTTACAGAGTCCACCTCAATGGATGTTCTGCTGACAAACCTGATCAGGGGGAAATTGCTTCCATCTGCTCTGCTCTGGATAACCACACGGCCTGCAGCAGCCAATCAGATCTCTTCTGACTATGTTAGCATGGTGACGGAGGTGAGAGGGTTCACTAATTCACAGAAAGAAGAGTATTTCAGGAAGAGATTCCAAGACGAAGAGCAGGCCAGCAGAATAATATCCCACATAAATACCTCAAAAAGCATCCAGATAATGTGTCACATTCCCATCTTCTGTTGGATCACTGCTACAGTTCTGGAGGATGTGTTGGAAACCAGAGAAGGAGGAGAGCTGCCCAACACTCTGACTGAGATGTATATCCACTTCCTGGTGGTTCAGACCAAAGTGAAGAAGATCAAGTATGATGAAGGAGCTGAAACAGATCCACACTGGAGTCCTGAGAGCAGGAAGATGATTGAGTCTCTGGGAAAACTAGCTTTTAATCAGCTGCAGAAGGGAAACCTAATCTTTTATGAATCAGACTTAAGAGAGTGTGGAATTGATATCAAAGCAGCCTCAATGTACTCAGGAGTGTTCACACAGATCTTTAGAGAGGAGAGAGGGCTGTACCAGGAGAAGCTATTCTGCTTTGTCCATCTGAGTGTTCAAGAGTTTCTTGCTGCTCTTCATGTTCATCTGACATTCGAAAAGTCTGGTGTGAACCTAATTAGTGAAAAAAGACAAACCTTAAAGTTATCATCAGCTTTTAAAAAGAAGCAGAAAAGGCTTAATCTTCATCAGGTAGCTGTTGACCAAGCCTTAGAGAGCCCAAATGGACACCTGGACTTGTTCCTCCGTTTTCTCTTGGGGCTTTCAATGCAGACCAATCAGAGTCTCCTACATGGCCTGCTGACACAGACAGAAAGTCCAGAAGGCAATCCTAAAATAGCAGAGTACATCAAAGCGAAGATCAGTGAGAATGTGTCTGCAGATAAAAGCATCAATCTTTTCCACTGTCTGAATGAACTAAATGATCGTTCTCTAATCAAGGAGATCCAAAAAGCTCTGATTTCAAGCAGTCTATGCACCGATGAACTTTCACCTGCTCAGTGGTCAGCTCTGATCTTCATCTTACTATCATCAGGAAAAGATCTGGATGTATTTGACCTGAAGAAATATGCTGCTCAGGAAGAGGTCCTTTTGAGGCTAATGCCTGTGGTTAAAGTCTCAAACAAAGCAATGTAAGCACACAATGAAAAAACAATTTCAATATATTTGAAGATTAATGGCAAGGAATCTTTTTTAAAATATTTCCACATTTTAAGCACTGTTTCAGAATATTACAAAGAGTAATATGTGCATATTGACATATCTCCTCTTCCTGCAGACTGAGTGATTGTAACCTCTCAGAGAGAAGCTGTGAAGCACTGTCCTCAGCTCTGAGATCTCAGTCCTGCAATCTCAAACAACTGGACTTGAGTAACAACAACCTGCATGATTCTGGAGTCAAGCTTCTGTCTGCTGGATTGGAGAGTCCAAACTGTAAACTGGAGAGCCTCTGGTAAATCTCAGACATGAATGTGACTTTCTTTTTGTCCCATTTGTTAGACCACAATAAACTACAATTCTTTCCATAACATCCGCAGTAAAATATATTTTTAGCAAGTAGGCCAGCGGTGGATAATAGAGTGAATACTTTATTCACACCCTCCTTAACCTCAGATATATTTGTTCCAACTCATTGCATTATATTAACACTATTTCATGATTTTAATACATTTTATGGGTAATTCCATGAAAAGCATCTTAAAAGACACAATTCCTAGGAACAACAAAGTTAATGCATGGAAGACTTCAGCTTCCTGTCACGATTCAGAACAGAAGGATCCTGTATTCAGGCAAGACAGACAGTGGGATTATTCAAAAAGCGTTTATTTAAAAATTAATAATCTTTGATTCTGCAGTAGCAGCAGCTATGGCATCTAAGGCAGGAAACTCTGCAGGAGAGGAAACAGGTTAGTGACCATGTAAATCCAACAGAGGAAGCTAATGAACATCAGTTATTGACCAAGTTTACAAGTTCAGTTCATAGCGAGAGAATGACGTAGGATCCATCCTGTGGGCTTGTCATGATGGATCAAAGGAGCAAGCCCATATGCAGAACACACACGGAGGAGGCTGGGAAAAAGTTCAAAGGTTTATTAAAAGTTCTGAACACGAGATCATAAACAAGTTCTGAGACTGGTTCACTGAAGTTTTGACTGGGACCGGAGACTGTTGGTTAGCAGAGTTCATGAGTAGCTAAGCGTCTAGCTTCAGGCTTAGCATGGCAGACCTTGATCTGAGCTTCCTGCTCATTGCAGAGAACAACAGGGAATATCCACATAGGATTCTTCAGGCTGATTCCACATAGGAATCTTCAGGTAAACTCCACATAGAAGTCTTCAGGTTAAATCCACATAGGAATCTTCAGGTTGGCTCACCAGGGCAGATTAGCAGGTTAGGCTCACCCAGAGCTTCAGACTAGCGACAGGTTTCCTGTGAGGCACAGACAAAGGAGAGATTAGAATCTGATCTCACACTTGAGACAACTAAGATTCTATCAGTAACAGAGGCTCAGGTAGCTAACCAAACTAAGATCAACACTGCGGCGTGGAAGCAAGGTCTGGCAGGAGCTTATAAAAGGGAAGTCTCCTGATGAGTAGATGCATAACAGGTGTGCTGGAAGATTCCAGCTCCAGGAGACCCACGGCGCACTCTGCTGGAGGAAGGTGGTAAAGCTCCAGATCCCAACAGTAACTCCAGTCTAAGAGAAAATAACAAAGAGCAGAAAATGATCCTCGGCGCCCTCTGGTGGGCAAGCCTGAGGATCCCAACAGGGCTCCCACAAGATGAAGTAGCATTCTCCTTTTAACATCAGTGTTCTGAATTTCCTTTTAAGGCCAATATGCTGGTGAAGATTCTCAGTCATCAGGTCATATTCATTCCAAGAAAAATAAAAAAAACAATCCACTGGACTTGGTTCCTGAGTTTGAGGAGGTTTTGCTGGTATAGATATATATGTATAGAACCATATACTATATAGAAATAAAGTTGTGAGTCTTTTATCCTAAAATTAAATACCACGTCTTAATGTTTTTTGTTTTGTTTTTTTCAAAACTGGCACCCTCATGTACAGTTTATTTAGATTTCTTGTATTTAATTTGTCCTCAATACAACATATCCGTTAACTGTGTGTTAATTTGGGTGTTTTCAGCTTGTCAGGCTGTCTGATCTCAGATGAAGGCTCTGCTCATCTGGCCATGGCACTAAGCTCCAACCCCTCCCACCTGAAAGAGTTGGACCTGAGTTACAATCATCCTGGAGACTCAGGAGGCAAGCTGTTGTTTGCTGGACTTAAGGATCCACACTGGAGACTAGAATCTCTGAGGTATGGAGTTACCTGAAGACAAGTACTATGCATCCACACTCTGTTTACCTCACAACAAAAGACATAATTTCCCTCAAACAAATCCATAAACATTGCCTTTTTCAAAGATGAGAAATATTTGCGAAGTGTGTTCAATCTAAGAAATTAATATTTTTTGGAGCTCAAATATGCAAAGACTGCTCCATCTTCATTAACGTCATATAATCATAAAATGCGTATTCCTGAATAACAGTGCTATCAGATCAAAGTTCTGGAAAGAATCTTCTAGGATATCATGTCTGGTTAGTGTGATATATAGTATCAGTGGCGTTGGATGTAGGAGTCCAGGAGCCCTGAAATCGAAGGATTGAGGGTTCAAGCCCCGACTTCGACTTTCAGTGTCGTTGATTCCTTGGGCAAGACACTTCACCTGCATTGTCTACTGATGGTGGTCAGAGGGCCCGGTGGCGCCAGTGTANGGGTCTAGTTTGCAGTTCAATGTCCAGCCCTATAGCAAGCTCAATGAGGTCCTCAAGGTTAGCTGGCTCAACGAAAAAGGTTAGCTCGTTTCTGACAGGTTCATTTAGAGCAAGGAGAAACGCGGTCTTAAGTGCAGACTCGTTCCACCCGGAAGCGGCTGCTTTAATCTGGAAATCTGAAGAAAACTCGGCAACGGATCTATCTCCCTGTTTAGTTTCTAGAAGTCCACTAAAAACGATGGAATTATTAGAGGCTTGGTTAAAAGTCCTTTCAAAATCCTGGACGAAATTCTCATAAGTACAGTTAACTCTAGTTTTAAAAGGAAATCTGGTCTCTGCCCATTCAAGGGCTTTTCCGGACAGGAAAGACACGACAAAAGATATCCTACTCATATCATACAGGAAACTAGACTCATAAAATTCAAAAAATAACTGACACTGAAACAGAAATCTCCTGAGCTTACTTGGATTGCCGGAAAATCTCTCAGGCAGAGAAGGGCTGAGTGCAGAAAACGACGGGCTGGGTTTTGACCAGAAAGGAAGATTATTATCTTGACTAGGAAGTGACGTCACTGCTGGTGACCTAGGAGACGGAAGTGAATCCGGAACGGGGCGTGCCGCTGACGTGGCGATAGCATCGCCCATGTAGCTGGCATCTGTTACAAGCATTTGATTTTGCTCACGGAGGGTTTGCGCATGTCCATGGATCTGAGCGTCCCGTTCCTCAAACCAACGACGGAGGTGATCTGCTGGGCTTTGTGTATGGCCGCAGTGTTCTGTCACGATGGATCAAGCCCATATGCAGAACACACACAGAGGAGGCTGGGAAAAAGTTAAAAGGTTTATTAAAAGTTCTGAACACGAGATCATAAACAAGTTCTGAGACTGGTTCACTGAAGTTTTGACTGGGACCGGAGACTGTTGGTTAGCAGAGTTCATGAATAGCTAAGCGTCTAGCTTCAGGCTTAGCATGGCAGACCTTGATCTGAGCTTCCTGCTCATTGCAGAGAACAACAGGGAATATCCACATAGGATTCTTCAGGCTGATTCCACATAGGAATCTTCAGGTAAACTCCACATAGAAGTCTTCAGGTTAATTCCACATAGGAATCTTCAGGTTGGCTCACCAGGGCAGATTAGCAGGTTAGGCTCACCCAGAGCTTCAGACTAGCGACAGGTTTCCTGTGAGGCACAGACAAAGGAGAGATTAGAATCTGATCTCACACTTGAGACAACTAAGATTCTATCAGTAACAGAGGCTCAGGTAGCTAACCAAACTAAGATCAACACTGCGGCGTGGAAGCAAGGTCTGGCAGGAGCTTATAAAGGGGAAGTCTCCTGATGAGTAGATGCATAACAGGTGTGCTGGAAGATTCCAGCTCCAGGAGACCCACGGCGCACTCTGCTGGAGGAAGGTGGTAAAGCTCCAGATCCCAACAGCAACTCCAGTCTAAGAGAAAATAACAAAGAGCAGAAGAGGATCCTCGGCGCCCTCTGGTAGGCAAGCCTGAGGATCCCAACAGAGCCCCCCCCTCAAGGGCGGATTCCAGACGTCCCCTGAAAAAGTGCAAAAAATAAACAAAAAACAACCCACCCAGGGTGGGCGGAGGGGGCACTAAGGCAAGGAGGGCCAGGAACAACAAAAAACAGAGTCCAGAAAACAAAAAACAACCCACCCAGAGTGGGCGAAGGGAGAAACAGGCCAGGAGGACAAAAGCAAAAACAGAGTCCAGAACAAAAAACGATCCACTTACGTTGGATGAAAACCAAAGAAATCCCAGACGATTTCTTGGGCAACGTCTCAGGTGGCCGGTCGTGGGACCGGCAGCGGGGCCGGAGGCATAGCAGATGTTCTGGAGGTCGGTCGTTGGGACGGAGGCGAGGCCGATTCTCAGGGGGCCTGCCGCTGGGCCAGAGGGGAGACAGATGCTCAGGAGGCCGACCACGGGGCAGAAGGCGAGGCTGACACTCCGGAGGCCTACTGCAGGGCTGGAGATGAAGCAGCATCTTAGGGGGACCACTGCCGGGCCGGAGGCATGGCAGAGGTTCTGGAGACCGGCTGAGGATCCGGCAACGGAGCAGAGTCTTAGGTGGCTGGCTGCCGGGTCGGAGGCGAAGCTGACACTCTGGGGGTCTGCCACGGGGTCGGCGGCGAAGCCGACGCTCCGGGGGTCTGCCGCGGGGT